TAAAAAAGAATTCAGCCTCATATTTTAAACAGGGAGAAATTGAAGCTCTAAAGAAATATGTTTTAAAAATAGATGGGAAAAAAGCCTGTCAGTGTTTGGAACTAGAGAGAGCGAGGGTACCCACATTCTGGGAAACTGTAATGCTAACAGGTTTTCTAGCTGTCAAAACTTGGAATAGAATCTACAGGGGCCCAAAGGTTTGAAATAAGAATGTGGTCAGATGCATAGATGGTATGGACTTGCAGCAGACTAAAACAAACACCAAAATAGCAACAGAGTCTGTCTCAGATGAGCTTGCTTTCCCAGCAGCCTCTTTGCTTGCAAGACATTTCTATTACATTTTCCTAAAAGGGAATCATGCTTCCCTTGAAACCACAGTCCTGCTCACATCGCATGGGGCACCAAACTTCTGCAAATTTCTGACCAGGGGGGCCCTTGCTTAGAATATGCCCCATCTTGCTGTTTAAAAACTAACAATCCCTATCTTGCTGAGACACCATGTTCCAAACACCTGCAAGTCACCTGTTTGGAGCTTGCATCACACATTCTTATAGAAACCAGTCTAGGTAGGATTTGAGGATCCTGAGAGCAGGCCAGTTAATTCGATGGCACCTGAAGTACCTAATGGTGTGAACCGCAGAAATAGGAGATCTCGGTTAACGTTGTCTTTAAAATGCATTTTCTTTAAGCGTCCTAATTGGGGATGCCTGGAATGTGGTTCTAATCTCAAGGCCAGGGACTCCCCATGCAGGCTTTCCAGGCCTTGGAATCACCATCTTCCCGAATATGGAACAGAGCAAATGACAGGAGCCTAGGGCCCATGAGGAATGGGTGGGAAGCTCCCCACACAATAAGGTCACCTCGTCCAAGGGGCTCTCAGTTTCTCCTCTCAAGGCCCGTAGCTGACAAGGATCCTCAAAGCGCAAATCACTCACCATGGCAAAGATGACCCATTGGTTTGCTTTCATTGCCTCTTCACCCTCTGTATCCTGGGAAGTTGAGCTTATGTGTGGGAAGGAGGAATGTTGTCCTTTACTTTGGGGAATTAGAATGAAGGTAGATGTTCGTGAGGTGCAGCCCTTGGAACGGAAGCAGACACGGGTCCAGCACAGGTTGTTGTTATTGCCTCAAAATGGAAAAAACGCTCTAGAGTACAGGACGCTGTAACATCCCTAAATTTAAACACGTGTTCTCTCTCTTCTGTTCCTTTTAGTAAATAGTAATATAATTCTTAAAATAAAAAATTTCTGTGGTTTTCCGGGGGATGGGGGGAGAGACCAGCAAAGACGGGGAGTTAGGGAGTCTGTACATTTTCTCTCTGAGCAGTGTTGGGAGAAGAGAATTCCAGGTGTTAAAGTGGATGGTGTGGCTTTAAGAGGTGTAAACTGTAAGAGTAAAGCAGAGAGAGGACCTCTCTAACCAGCAGCATCAGCATCACCTGCGAACCTGTTAGACATGAAAGTTCTCAGGCCCCACCCAGACCCACTGAATCAAAAATTCTGGGAGTGAGGCCCTTCGGGGGAATTCCAGTTATCAAGCTCAAGCTTAGGGACCACTGGGTGGGGATAAGGACTTGGACAGAACTACTTTTATTTATTTATTTATTTATTTATTTATTTATTTATTTATTTATTTATTTATTTATTTATTTTCTACTTACTTTTTTACCTCTTTCACCCATTTCTCCTACTCTCTACCCCTTTGCCTCTGGCAACCACCAATCTGTTCTCTGTATCTATGAGCTTATTTCTTGTTTGTTTGTTCTTTTTTTAATTTTTATTTTGTTTGTTTGTTCTTTTAAATTCCACATACGGGAGAGATCATACAGTATTTGTCTTTCTTTGTCTGACTTATTTCACTTAACATAATGCCCTTGAAGTCCATCCATGCTGTTGCAAATGGCAAGATTTCATTTGTTTTATGGCTGAATATTCCATTAAATATGTATACCACAATTTCTTTATCCATTCATCCATTGATGGACATTAAATTTTTTTTTTAAGATTTTATTTATTTATTTGAGAGAGAGGATGAGAGGAGAGAGAGAGCACATGAGAGGGGGGAGGGTCAGAGGGAGAAGCAGACTCCCTGCTGAGCAGGGAGCCCGATGCGGGACTCGATCCCGGGACTCCAGGATCATGACCTGAGCTGAAGGCAGTCGCTTAACCAACTGAGCCACCCAGGCACCCCCATTGATGGACATTAAGGTTATTTCCGTATCTTGGCTATTGAATAATGCTACAATGAACATGGGTATAGCTTTTCAAAATAGTGTTTTCACTTTCTTCAGATAAATATCCAGAGTGGAATTGCTAGATCATATGGTAGGTCTATTTTTAATTTTTTGAGGAGCATCTGTGCTGTTTTCCATCGTGGCTATATCAATTTACATTCCTACCAACAGTGCGGGAGGGTTCTCTTTTCTCCACATCCTTAGTGACACTTGTTATCTCTTGTCTTTTTAATAAGAGCCATTCTAACAAATGTGAGGTGATTTTCACTGTGGCTTTGATTTGTATTTCCCTGATGATTAATGATGGAGTGATCTTTTCATGTGTCTGTTGGCCAGCTATATGTCTTCTTTGGAAAAATGTCTATTCAGATCCTCTGCCCATGTATGTGTTTTTTCTTTCTTTTTGTTATTGAGTCGTATGAGTTTCTTATATATTGGATATTAGCCGCTTATCAGGTATATGATTTGCAAATATTTGCTCCTATGCAGTAGGTTGTCTTTTCATTTTGTTAACGGTGTCTTTGCCGTGTAGCAGCTTTTGGCCTGTGGTAGCCCCACTTATTTCTTTTTGCTTTCGTTGCTTTTAAAAATAGAGCTGCTTTTATATCCTGGCTCTGCTTTTTAACAGCTGTGTGGGTTGAGCAAGCTAATTAATCTGAGTTTATGAAGAAAATTAAATGAGATAACATATTTGAAGCACTTAGCACAATGCTAGATACATAGAAAGCCCTCAGTAAATGTTAGCTGCTGTGATCACCCTTTTGTATGAAGGGAAGGAGAAGGGATGAGTCCTAAAGACTGTAAACAAGTTAGCACAGCATTTGCCTGTTGAAAGGGCCCTTTCAGACTCTAGCCTTGTGTTTCCAAGGCATCCACAGTTTAGATAAATTCTGTGTGGTTCATCCACCCAGAAATTTGAACAGAGCCGTAATTCTCAAACTGACTGATCATCCGAATCTCCCGTGGAGGTTTTTTTTGTTGTTTTGTTTTGTTTTTTAGATTTTATTTATTTGACAGAGAGAGGCACAGTGAGAGAGGGAATGCAAGCAGGGGGAGTGGGAGAGGGAGAAGCAGGCTTCACGTGGAGCAGGAAGCCCGATGCGGGGGCTCGATCCCAGGACCCTGGGATCATGACCTGAGCCGAAGGCAGATGCTCAACGACTGAGCCACCCAGGTGCCCCCCGTGGAGGTTTTTTTAAAAAATATCTTTTATATATTTTTTGCGGTGGGGAGGGACAGCGGGAGAGGGAGAATCTTAAGCAAGCTGTGCACTGGGCAGAGCTCAATCTCAGGACCTTAACTGACTGAGCCACCCAGGCACCCCTAATTTTTTTTAATTAATTTTTTTTTGAGCGAGAGAGCCGTTCCCCCCCCCCCCCCCCAGAGCTTTTAAACTGCCCTGCCTGGACCTTCAAGCAATCATCTTCAGCAGTAGGCCCTGGGCATCTATAATTTAAAATTTTCCATAGGCAACACTGCAAAACAGCTACTGGAATTGAAAGGTATGCTAGCTAGAGCTAACATGTATTGAGTTTCTGTTTGTGCCAGGCACTATGCTACCTTCTTTATTTATATTGCTTCCTTTAATTCTCACAGCAACTTATAAGGCAGGCACTGTCAGTTTCTTTTATATATGAGGAAACTGAGGCAAAGGGCCTAAATAACTCAGCCAAGTTCACATAGCCGGGAAGTGACTTAGGACCTGAACCCAGGTTTGAGCTACTAATTGCAATTAACTAATGTATCCATTTACTCATTCACCCAAAATTTATTACGTGTGACCGGGTAAGGAGTTGAGAGCCAGAGAATCTAAAATTGAACAAAAATCCCCATCCGCATCCTCAAGAAGTTCATGGCTTTTGTGCGTGTGTTCAGAATGAACAAATGACAGGTTGTCTCGTTTTAAAAGATGATGTCATGTGTCGGTGTTTGAGAGGCTGAAAAGATTTTCTATGACTTCCAGCCTCTTCCTCTCGGTGACCATTTATAGAATCCACCGCTTTGGCAAATCAGCCTCCCAGACTGGGAAGCCCCAGCGCCGTCGAGGGGCGGCCCGCACCAGCGTCTCCCCGCAAGGAGGGCTCCGGCGCAGGCTCGCCGGCCGTGTTAGCCCCTCAGGGTGGTCGCCGGCTGCCCCCGCTGGGTTGTCTCACTTCAGTTCTGCACCTCTCTTGGCAGGTCCATCAATCAAAGGGCGGGGAAGGAGGTGTCTCACAGCCGAGCTTCCACGTGGACTCTCTTCCACGGATAAAACCTGTCCCTTACACCTCAAGCGAGCACTGCTACGAAATTTCCCAGAAAAGCACAGAGAGAAGACGGAGACCTGCTTTTTAGAATCGTGAAATCTGGGGCGCCTGGGTGGCTCAGTTGGTTAAGCGACTGCCTTCGGCTCAGGTCATGATCCTGGAGTCCCGGGATCGAGTCCCGCATCGGGCTCCCTGCTCGGCGGGGAGTCTGCTTCTCCCTCTGACCCTCCCCCATCTCATGCTCTCTATCTCATTCTCTCTCTCAAATAAATAAAATCTTAAAAAAAAAAAAAAAAGAATCGTGAAATCTTAGCGCTGGTTAAATCCCTGGACGTGACGGAAGGCTGATCAGGAAACGGAGCTGCAGGGTCTCGAACCCTGCTGGCCCTGGGCTCGCGGCGCCATCAGCAACCGCTCACTGCCTCCTACCGTCAGAGCCGAGCACTGTTCCAGGCAGACGCAATATTCAAGGGCGGCGACCGTCACCTTGGGGCAGGCAAACGGCCCAACCTGGAGGCGGCCTGGGAGGACACCACCCCCCGGGGCTGGGGTGGGGACACCCCCGTGCAGCCACCACGTTTTCCTTGCGGGTCGGTGGGGGAGGAGAGAGGGTTTGGGGTCCGCGGCCGTTCCCGGGACCAGTATTCAGAACGCACAGGGAGACGTGGTAGCGGAACCTTTCTCCTCCGCCTCGCTCTCGCTTCCCCCCCGGAACCGGTTGGCGTCGGACCCAGTGGTGGAGGCTTATAAACATGGAGACAGCCGGTGCCGGGCCTGGGCCGCCGTCCTCTGGTCTCGACACTCCGGGATCCCCAGACGATCGGCTTTTCCTGGTGAAAGGTGTGGTGTGGTGAGGTGCTGGTGTCGGGGCGAGCTCTTCCGGGGCCTGCGCTGGAGCCGCCATTCCCCGCCCTGGGAGACCTTCCCTTGGGTTGCCCCTGAGTTGAGCTGGTGGGGATCGGCCAGTCAGGGGTCGTGCGGGGTGGAGTCTCCCCTGAGCTGTGTGCTGTATTTCCCCCATCCCCTCTATAGTTTCTCTCGTGCCTTCCCCTACCTTCCACTAGCTTGTTTTCCTCCCCGGGAGAAACTTCAAACCGTCCCCGGGAGGAGGGGAAGGGGCCCTGGGCCAACTCTCAGCACTTGGGAACGGTCCCGCAGAACGATCTCAGGAACCAGAGGTCAGGAGGTCACGCAGGTTTCGCACTGCTATCGTTTACCTTTATGGCCAGAGCTGTCTAGCTTTCGTTCTCAAATTTCAAAAGTGACTTAAGATGTAATTTAAATAGTGTCTGGACTTACTTTGGGTACGTCTTCTTAAGGTGTTGTGTTTTTTTTCCTCTCTCTCTTTAATCTCTCTCCTCCCCCTCCACGCCCTACCCCCAAAACTCTTGGCAGGTGGAGTTTTCCTTGGTACTGTGGCTGCAGCAGGAATGCTAGCCGGATTTGTTACAACATTATCATTGGCTAAAAAGAAGAGCCCTGAATGGTTCAATAAGGTTTGTGACACGGAAATCCATTTATAGCACTGTTGTTGTTTACAGATAATTGGCAGCTGTTGTGCATAGGAGAAGTCAATAAAATGTTGGTGCCCTTTCATATTGTTTTAAGAAGTAAACCTATATACATCTCATAGATTCAGGAAATGTACAAATTAATCAGTGGTCTTTATTTTCATTTAGAAAGAAGTATTTAGGGACTCCTGGGTGGCTCAGTTGGTTAAGTGTCTGCCTTCAACCCGGGTCATGATCTCGGGGTCCTGAGATCAAGCCCCATATGGGGCTCTTTCCAGTGGAGAGCCTGCTTCTCCCTCTCCCTCTGTGCACTCTCTCTCTCAAATAAATAAATAAAATCTTTAAAAACGAAAGAAAAAAGAAAGAAGTATTTAGTTATGTGCTTTCTTTTTCTTAAATTTTAGCAGAACAAGACTTTGAAAGCTCATCCAGTACATTTCCTATTCACAACATGACTAAGTCTAAATCTGGGTAATAACCTATCAGTTGTAAGAGGCCCCGGTATTTTATGTACCACTAAGGGAAAAAAAATGATGCCAGTTAAATTCTTGACACAATGCTGATTGCCAGAGGCATTTCTATTTATTTATTTCTTTAAGCTCTCCACCCAGATCAAGAGTCTCATGTTCTATTGACTGAGCCAGCCAGGCGCCCCACCAGAGGCCTTTCTATTTCAAAAATGTTCAATTGTTGAAGTAAAGTGCATCTTATCATTGATGAAAAACATGGATCAGCTCCTTGAGCCCAGAGATCACACGTGCTTTGTGCTGCTTCATCCCCACTCCCCAGAAAAGTGCCTGACACATAAGTGCTCAATCAGTTTGGGTTGAATGACCATAAGCTTCTTAAGGCAGAAAATTCTTAACTCCATGAGCAAGATTGAGTAATCACTCATGTGGTCATACCCCAGCTGTTGAGGATTGTTTCTTCTCATTGACTTGTAGACTTGCAGTTACTTGTTAGCATGTGTTGTCCTGTCTCTGCCCTCTCCATCCCGTATCGTTTATTTAGCCATCATTTCATTGCTTCAGATGTTAACTTGGGATCTTTTATGTGTCAGGCACTGTGCTAGCTCGATGCAAGAGATAACAAAAATGAACCGATGCTTGCCCTTCAGGAAGCTAGCATCTGTGCAGGAGGAGACAGATATTAAATATTGATGCAATTAACTATATAATTATAATTTGATGTTTGCTTGGAAGAAGAGTGTTATGTGAAACATCGTAAACTAGTCGAGTTCCCTTTCCACTTACATTTTTAATAATCTGATATCATACTTAAGCACTGTAGATACTGTAAAGGAAAAAGACCACATTTAAGGTGCTTTTGTTCTCCATCTGAATACTCAAGGCTTAAATGGAGCTACCTAAATCACTGTAATGAACCCTGTGGTCATTTTCACCCTGTATTATAGAATATTTTCAGTGCAGAACTCTATCTTGTAGAAGGAATCAGTAAAGCCTAACTGATAGTGATGCTTTAACAGTAGAATTTGCATTCATTTCTAAGCCTGAATTACCAGGTTAACCTTTGGGTCACAGACCTTTCTGAGAATCTGATGAAAGCTAGGGATTCTCAGGAAAAAAAAAACAACTCATACCCACATTTACAACTTGGCATTCTGTTTTGTGGTTCTAAGATTTGATGGTCACACATGTCCTATCAAACACGGTGGTTGTCAGGCTGTGGGCCATAGAACCCTAGGGATCCTTGAGACTCTTTGGGGGTCTGTAAAGTCAAAACTATTTTCCTAGTAATAGCGAGGCATTTGCACTAACAGTATAGAAGCACGTGGGGTGAGAGTGCTGGAGCCTTAGTGGAATCAAGGTGGTGGCACCCAGCTGTACCGGCAGGCCTGGTGGTCTTCACTACCGTGCATCTGTAGTTAAAAAAAAAAAAAAAAAAAAAAAGCCCTCATTGCATAAGAATCTCCTTGTTACAGCAGTAGAATTACTGATTTTATTAAATCTTAACCCTTGATTATACCTCTTTACTAATCCACGTGAAGAAATGGGAAGTACGCATAAAGCCTTTCCAATTTATATCAAAGAAAGACGTTTTTCTCCAGGAAAAGCAATGGTGTGATTAAATTGCATGCTGAACTAGCTGCTTTTTTTCCCCATGTACTAACGTATTTTATTTGAAAGAGGAACTGACAGACTATAGTTATTCAGAAGTGGGTATTTGACAGACATTTTCTTCAAAATGAACAAAATGAGCCTGTGTCGTCTCTTCAAGCAAGCACTTGTCAGTATTTGTTGCCAATGATAAAATTGGAGCTTGCAAGTGAAAATTAAATCTTAGGATTTAAAATCTGGTTGGGTCTCAGGTATCCCAATACTTGTATCTGCCATTGTCAGCTTAATAGGTACTCAATACGTAAAGGCTTTTCTGATGAGACTGGTGGTAGCGTTCATGATGTGAAATTTTAAATGTTTAATAAATGGTGTCAACATTGGAAAGATCTGCATAACTTGGTAAATCAGTATTTTCTGAATGATCATAATGCATGGATAAAAGGTCTATTAGAAATACAAAATAGACTAATGGATTTTAATGTAACAAAGTACAAAAAACTCATCGGTGTGACTTCAGATCCCAGAGTGCATGCCGCTATTTGGGAAGTTTTGGTGAAGCATCAAAGAAGGAAGGCTATTAAAATACTTGTCCCTTTTCCAACCACAGATCTCTGTAAGGCTGGACTTTATGCAGATTCTTCAATCAAAAAACATATTGCAACAGATTGAATACAGAAGCATTTATGAAAATTCATCTGTCCCTTGTTAAGCCAAACATTTAAAAGATTAATCAAAATGTAAAACATTGCCTCCTTGCACTAAATTCTTTTGTTTTGTAAGGTAGCTGTTTCATAAAAATAGGTTTATATATATATTTTTTAAATTTATTTGTCAGAGAGAGAGAGAAAGCATAGCAGGGGAAGCAGCAGGCAGAGGAAGAAGCAGGCTCCCTGCTGAGCAAGGAGCCTGATGTGGGACTCGATCCCAGGACCCTGGGATCATGACCAGAGCCGAAGGCAGACGCTTAACTGACTGAGCCACCCAGGCGTCCCAAAAGTAGGTGTATATTAATCTATACGGGGTTTATTTGTAAATGAATTAATACTTAAAATTTAAGAATTTCTTAGCTTTAATTTCTAAAATATTAATTATTATTAAGTATAGGCCACATAATCAGAAATCTTTGGGATCCAAGTATAAATGGATCCTGAGACCAGAAAGTTTGAGAACCAGTGTTCTGGATGGTTAAATATGTTGTGTAAAGTTCTGCCTCCCCTCTGGGGAAACATCTGAATTAGAGCATTACCATTGATCCAGACTCTGTTTGAGAGGCTCAGAGGTTCTGGAGCATTTAATGCATTTACACTTAGCAAGCACCAGTTTAAGAATACCACTTAGGCAGTGTACTGCCTGGCAGTTTTCTCTGACATTAATAGTGATAATAATATCTAGCATTTGAATGCTTACCATGTGCTACCTGCTGTTTTAAGGGTTGGGGTTCATTGAACCCCCATCACAACCCCATGAGATGCTGTTATTATGTTGCCCCCATTAAACTGAGGCACTGATGGATTAAACAATTTGCCCACCGTGGCACTCTTTCCATCTTTGATTATTTTTGGAGAAGAAATTACACTATTTTTAGCAATTTTTTATTTAAATAGATTTCTGTCCACTGGCTTGGAATCTAGACATTAACTATAATACAGATTCAGATTGCAACTCAGGACTTTAAAAATGATCAGCTTTTAGTTGGGGACTGCCTACATTGCTATTATTTCAGGAGGATGGTCATCATTTCTTTAAAGTCTTAACTGCATTGTCTTAGCTGAGTATCAGGCTAGAAAACTGGGAATGGAACGGCAGTAGTAAGTGCTGAACGAACATTCATTTTTTTTTGTCCTTCATTGAATAAACAGAGGAAGGTGTAAGCTAAGGTGGCTTTTAAAAGCACATGTACGTATGTAACACATATATAATTTCTGTCCTTCCCAAGGAAATAAGGAATTTTTTAACTTAAGTTTCTAAAATAAAATTTAGGCACTTAAGTTGACCCTGGTTTAATAATATTTGGTTAACGTTAACTGCTTCTGGATGAAAATTCAGGCCAGTTAGAAGTTAGTGAATTTATATGAGATCTGTGATATCTAGAGAACCACTCTGAAATTACAGCAACGTGAGAAAAGGGTTAAGAGAGTTTGTTTTGATCATAGAAAATAACTAAAGAAACATCTCTTGAAAATCTGGTTGGGTCTCAGGTATATTACAAACAAGTGTTAAGTCAGCAAATAATATCTTCTGGGTCAGGGCATGGTGCGAGACATGAAAATACAGGTAAACCAAGTGTTTCTGTGTGCCACCAATAACATTCATAATCATAGCACACATGCTACAAACCTTTATTCAATGGGTTGAGCAATATAAAGAAAATTATTCTAAAAAGGGAAAGGCTTGAGTAAATGGAAATTTGTTTCCAGAAGAAAGACCAAACATAAATTTGCTGTCTTATCACATTAGCTAATCAGTTTGATGACACTGTAATGAAAATGCCAATGAATGGGACTCAGAGAAATCTTGACAGAATGTTTTAGGGCTTTTCTGGGAGAATTAATAGGCAAAAAACAGCAAAGAAAAGTTTTGGAAAAAATAATCAGTAATCGGTGCTTTCAGTGATGGGGTGGATATTCCCTTTTGAAGCATGCATTGCATTCCTATTCTTCTCTAGTCAAGTTTTCATGCTGATAGTCTGAAAGTTGTTCAGTTATTATGGTATAGATTTTTACCTTAATATGATACCTTGAAACCCAAGAGGAGAGTCATTGTTTATTTTCTAGTTTCTCATGAATAGCTGCCATAAGCTGGGTTTCTACTATGTGCCCTGCATTTTGCATATGTATTTAAAAGTCTTTGTAGTGACTTAGATTAGCTCACCTCTTTGAGGAACCCCTCCTTAAAGCTTCCTCTAATTGCAACAACAGATTAGGTATCCTCCTCTGGGACTATGGTGCCCTATGTGTATAGTTCTATTGTCGCACATTCCATTTAGATCATAATTAACTTTTATGTGTCTGTGTCCTCCTCCCCTCCCCCCATTGACTGGGATCTTTAGTCAGAAAGAAGTTACTCTATTTGCCTTTTTCTCTCCAATACCTAGCACAGCTCCTGGCAAGGCCCTGAGTACTCAAATATCTGTCAGTCAGAGAAGGGGTGACTTCTCTGCAGTTACTAAGTAGCAAAGCTTCTTTTTGGACTTCAGTTCGTCTGGCTTCCCAAAATTACGGTGACATTCAGAGAGTCATGAGTTTCAAACACTCCTGAAATAATTACTTTTTCCGAACTGATGATTTTTCCTCTCTGTCTTCATTGCAGGGAAGTATGGCCACAGCTGCCTTACCAGAGAGCGGGTCTTCCCTTGCCTTGCGAGCCCTGGGTTGGGGCTCACTTTATGCATGGTGTGGGGTTGGTGTGATCAGCTTCGCAGTCTGGAAGGCTTTAGGAGTTCACAGTGTAAGTAACTACAGTCCTGTAATTGGTATCTGGAATGTTTATTCCACTTTCTGTGGTCTAAATATACCTGATTTTCAAGAAGTGTGTGTGTGTGTGTGTGTGTGTTTGTGTGTGTGTGTGTAATTTATACCCCAAGTTAAAAAGCTGTATATTAGGAATGATTGGCTTTTTTTAAACTACCGGTAGGAAGTTCTGTGGACAAGGCTGCACATGTGTGACAGGTGAGAATTGACGTGGTTTGGAATGGTGGCAGCAAGGGAATTGAGGTAAAGAGGTTCTGGATATATTTTGAAGGTAGAGTCAACAAGGACTTGTTATACGTCGGCTGTGAGAGGTGAGAGAATAAATGAAGTCAAGGATCTCCAAGGCTTTTGGCCTGTGAGCAGTTGGAAGATGGATGGGAACCAGTGTGAGAGGAGCAGGTATTCAGGGATAATGCTAGGAGCTCAGTCTGGGGCCTGTGAGTTTGAAATATCTGTTGGATCGCTAAGTGGAGAGTCAAGCAAACAGTTAGATACAGAAGTTTGGAATTCAGAGGAGAGGTACAAGGTCAAGATGTAAATTTGAGACTCTTCAGTATATGGGTAGTGTTCAAAGCCAGGAGACTAGGTGAGCTCACCAAGGCATTGAGCTCACCAAGGAGCTCTGGGCACTCCCAAGGTTTAGAGGTTGGGAAATACGGAGCAAATTAGCAAGGGAGATTTCCCTACCAAAGGAGAAAATCCAGGAGAACCGGGAGAATGGTGACTTGGACACCACGTGAAGAAGGTGTATGGTGGGTTTAAATCATGTAAGATGAGACTCAGGAGTTTGCCAAGTTAGCCTTGATGGCAGTCCTTGGTGGGTAAAGCCTGGGTGGAGTGGATCCAAAAGAATGGAGGAGATTGTATATACAGGCATGTCTTGAGTTGTGCTTTACAGGGAAAGAAAGAGATGGGGTCATAGCTGGAAAGGGGACTGAGATCAAGAGAGGTGTTTTTTTGTTTGTGTTTTTGTTTTTAATTTGGGAGAATTAACAGCATGTTGAGTATGCTGATGGGAGTGATTCTGTAGACGGGGAAATTGCAAGGGAGGGGGGAGTGATAAGTAATATAATTATTATAGGCATTACTGAATTTTTTATATTTGTTTTAATCATAACTGAACATAGGCATTATTGTACTTTTCACTCAAAGTATACTGATAGACAGATAGATGTTGCTTTTCTTCTAGTCCGACTAACCTTTATTTTTAAAGTAACTTTGCTGCTAGTAATTGTTTATAACAATAAAGTTGTGTTTACTTGGAAAAGTTAGAAAACCCATGACTGAAGATTTTGGATGATTTTTGTTGTTAACCTCAGTTTTGCTTTTGACCAGTATAAAATCTCCTTCCATTGCAGGCATTGTACCAGACATTTTAGGCATAGCAGATTATTTAATCTTCACAATAACTATGAAGCAGTTAGTAATATCCCCCATTTTATAAATGAGGAAATTGGGTCTCAGAGAGGTTAAGTCACTTGTCCGAGATCACACAGCTTGTCATTGACAGAGTCAAGATTTGGATCCAAGTCTGATAGTCTTTGGAACCTAGATTTTTTTTTCCAATGTTACCTCCCCTAGCTAAGATTGGAAATAAATGAGTAGTTGGAAGGAGCCAGAATGAGGAGGAAGGAGGTAGTAAATTCGGTTTTGATGGTGATGTGATCCACACATTCTTGATAACTTGACAGGTTTTCCTGGGTATCTTCAATGTGGGCCTCATCTCCCAACATTGTAATTAATATCAGTCAGGGCCATTCTTTCCTCATAAAAGAGAAGGTCTCCTTTTAGCCTTCATCTTCAGTAGACAAATGCTTAGGGCATAATGGTAAAGCAGGATTCATTTGTATATATAATATGAGAGCAGTTATTTGAAAACAGGTGGAAAAAACGGGGGAAATATGCCCGGTATAAATGTGTGGATGAATTATGGGGGGTGTGGGAGTGAATTTTTTTTTTTTACTTTTCTGTACGTTCTTAAATATGTATTGCTTTAACAGTAATACTACCTTTAAAAAATATAGTGCTGGATTTTATTTTTTATTAATTTATGCTAAAAATGAAGCACAGCTGCCTAGAAGTTCACAAAACTTCTTTGACTACATGTGACATATACTTGAGGGCATGAAATAATAATAAGGTTATTAAGCTTTTAGTTTCTATAAAAATGATGGTCTGTTAGCACTTTATACTGACTCCATGGAATTGTTAGGTGATGTTTCCAGAACTTAGTAATGTAGGTCATAAACTGAGTAATAAAGTTTTAAGATATTTTAAAATATAAATAGCCTTTGAATGAGAAGAGTCATAATGAATTGATCCAAATTTTCATAGACCAACAAAGTAAAGATATTTAGATTAAGTTATGTGCTCAAGAAGTTGGGCTTTATGGACTATCCGGTGCTATTCTAGTTTCTAGAATGTGAACTTCTTTGTTTTATGGCCTAAATAAAATAGTTGGGGAAGAAAAATTATTTTCTGATTGGCACTACTGAATACAAGGACACTTGGAATCTTTTTATATCTTCATGTCTTTAACTAAAACATGAGAATACAAATGTACTGTCCCCCTACCTGTAGGTCATTAGGAATATCAGTTTGATATCCATATCTGAGAAGTCTCACAGAAAAATGAACTACTGATAGTTTTTCAAGGGCACACCTTTTGAAAGCAGTAGTGTTTATTAATTAGTTCATTCAAAAGACATTTGTGGGCCTGCCCTGAGCCAGGCACTGTGCCTAGACAGGGCTCCCCAGTAGACCGTTATGGATGCCTTCGGTTTTAAGACTCTCTAAGCAAATTCTTATTATATGACCCACTCTGAGTCTTGTGGAGAGCAGTATTACATTTCAGTTCTCCTTTAGAGAGTTCTGAGGATAATTGTGAGATTGTCCTGAGTCCTGGGAAATGTTATCTTTCCATGACTAAAGAAAACAATCTTAGAAAATGCTGGACAGAAAGGTCCAGGTCTCTGCACTCAATAAATAATTGATATGATTATTCTAGGTAAATTCAGGTAAATCAAAATCAAGCCCAGTGTCAAATAATTGTTGGTAGCAACCTTGAATCATATTAAAGTGTCATTATACACCCAGTTCAAAAAAAAAGAAGGGTGCCATCTACTGGCTGAAGGAGAGCAGTTCACATTCCCTATTTTAATTCACAGCTACATCTGCTGGCCTAAACAAGGGCATGCTGCAGTGCTTGAAGCTAAGCTCTTCAGTTTCTTAGAAATATTTTGGATTTACACTTTATTCGTAGTTATTATGGAATTTATTTCACATATAACATGTATAATACATCAGATGTAAATTTATATTTTACACAATAGTGTTATCATTTAATTAGAGATTCCAAAAAAAGGAGAGCTAGTGGAGCTATCTTGTCAGCAGACTGAAGCCAGTAGGTGTGCCCAGGATTTAAGGTGGGAGCCTCCCTCCCTTCGTGTACGAACCAGTCCAGATTCAGCCTGGGATCACCTCACCAGTTCCGGCCTGCCAGCATGGTGGGCCAGCAAGCAAGGCCTGATTGCTCAGTATGGATTCACCAATTTCTTTGAATTATGGTATTTTATCATCTGATTATGATTGAGGCAGCATTAATTTTATAACAGTAACTTAATTGTGAAAAGAATGAGCATTTACTATGGGTCTGTGGTCCCCTAATGCAGCTAATGATCCCAAAGGATCCCAGATGATCCTGGGAGACTGCCCTGTTCAGGCCAGGTTCACACCGTGGCAGTATGATTAGATTCTTTTTATTAGGGGCAAATATTTTAAGTTTAGAGTAATTGAAATAAACGCTTGTCAGTGAGTAAATAAGGATCTCTAGAGATAACAACTAGTAATTCCCCAATTATCAAAAGAAAAAACCAGGGCACCTGGGTGGCTCAGTTGGTTAAGCATCTGCCTTTAGCTCAGGTCATGATCCCAATTTCCTGGGATTGAGCCCTGTGTTGGGCTCTCTGCTCAGCGGGGAGTCTGCTTCTCCCTCTCCCTCTGCCCCTCCTTCCCCCCTCATTGTGCGTGCTTGCGCGCTCTCTTTCTCTCTCTCAAATAAATTTTAAAAATCTTAAAAAAAAACCACCATGCCACTTAAAATTATTTACATGTTACTCAAACACAAAGACTTAACTTTTGTATCTTTTCTTATACTGAAAGGATTTCTAAAAAGATTGAGCATATTTATGGTTAGACTATTTTGCCTTTTTTTCTCCCCTTAGAAGGAAAAATGTTGGATGTATAAATAATTCCTGATTGATATGACTGGGAGCTTTAGGGCTTATGCCTGTGGACTCATCTCGTTCAACATTTGTTGGAGGTGAGGCTGTCTCAGGGTACGAGTCAGAATCACCATTGCTAACATTTACTGTACCTTGTATTTAATATATTCATGATAACCTGGTATAGTTAGAATTCACAGATAATTTACAGTTGTTGCCCTCAGAGGAGCTAAAATCTCAATAGTGATAAAACCATGAATGAAAACATTTTTAGTTATTGTGAAATACTTTAAATTGTCCAGAGACTTAAATTTAAAAATTAACTTGCAAATAAAGGGGATTTTTAGTTTAGTTTGTTTTTTACCATGTAATTAGAGGTATTTGTTTTTATTTACATATATTGCTTATTTTTAAAGAAAAACATGTTTAGGACCTTTTTTAAAACAAAGATGGCTTTGTGTTTCTTTTGTTAAAATTAGGTACTCATTGTAAAAACAACAATAACAACAACAAAAAGAGTGTAGAAAAGTACAAAAAGGGAAACAAAAATCACCAGAAATCTCACTGAGTTATAATCACTTATTACAATAAAAACATCCCTTCAGACTTTCTATAAGCCTATTCATATAATTGTAGGTAAATGTTTTACTGTTCTATTCTGGAACCTTTTTTCACTGAATAGCCACAAGAACGTCTTTGCACAGTAGACTATATAAATCTCCATCACTTTTAATGGCTACATGGTGCTCCATTATAATTTACTTAATCAGTCTCCTGCCAATAGCATTTAGATTGTAATTTTTCACTATTAAACACCATAGTGAACCTCTGTAGGCATGCATCTTTTTGTACTTTTCTTGGTCAGGAAATTTGTCCTAAAGACAAATGTTATTGTTGAATCCAGGGGTATTTAAAAACTTTTTGATATCCATTGCTAAGCACAAAATGTATACACTTAGAAGATACTGTCAGTGCATACAGGTTTCCTAGCACCCTCGCCATTAGTGGCTTCTTCTACTTTGAAATGTTTGCCAATCTGAGAGATGGAAAATAATCTCTTTCTTCCTTTACTGCATCTCTCAGGGCTTTTATGCAGATAATCTGTGATTGAAGTCTTATACATCTCTCCAGCCTCAGTCGCCTCCTGATCTGCTGATAGAGGTTGCTTCTTGCTCAAGAGCCCAGGCTTCCTTTTCCTTAAGAACAAAAAGTAAAACATGTAAATAAAACACATCTTAAATATTTCTCCAAAAATTGGCATCTGTCTTTCCTATACTAAGATTTTTTTTTAAAGATTTTATTTATTTTTTGACAGAGACAGCGAGAAAGGGAACACAAGCAGGGGGAGTGGGAGAGGGCGAAGCAGGCTCCCCGCCGAGCAGGGAGTCCGATGCGGGGCTCGATCCCAGGACCCTGGGATCATGACCTGAGCTGAAGGCAGACGCTTAACGACTGAGCCACCCAGGTGCGCCGGGTTTACGCTCATTTCTTAATGACCTTATGACTAGCTTTGAGGGCTTTTGCTAATTACAGTAAAATCTCTTTCGACTTTTTGCTAATTTCTGGTAGATCTTGTATTAAATATGTTTATTCCTACACAGTTTTTAAGTTATTCGTCTCAAATGAAGCAACATTTGTAGGTGAATGCTAGAACCACATATGTAAATAAAACTATGAAAAGGCTTAGAAGTTTTTAACATCTGAGATATCTAAGAAGGAAATAGACTGTCAGCTTTGTACTTTTTGGTTTCAGTCAAAGGTTAAAAACAAATCTGTCTCCTGGCAAATTGTTTAATGGTAGCCACTTCTGAGGGATCTGCAGGGGAGGTCTGAAAAGTGACTGAAATATGTCCCTTCTGCGTCCTTGCCTAATCTAATTTGAGAGCTTCCAAACGTCTCTACCAGCTTCTGTCCCCGAAGCAAACTTCAGTTCCTTACTCTGATTACCATAACGTCAGCAGACCCAGCTTCACTTCCACTTGCTGATAGTACTTACTAGAACGCCCAGAACACAGAGTCATCATGATCTTGCACAGATAGTTCTGTCAAGCTGAGGGCATTCAAACAGTGTAAGCATTGAGGAATATATTCCTGGAATCATTTTTAAATTAATTGGAAGTGGCACTGTGCATCACTTAAATTTAGGTCTGAGGTGACAAGAACATCTCTATAACCCTTATTTCCCATTCACTGCAGCTCTAATGGGCTTGGCATCCGGTGGCAAGAGGCACTCGATGTAATGTGGAAGGGCAATTTGGTGACAGAGAGACCGAATCACAGGGACTTGCTCAGTTTAAAACGGGAGGTAATGACCAATGTCGTATTTTGTTTTCTGTGGGGGGGGTGTCTAAGGTTGGCCTAAGCCAAGAGGGTGGGGGAAAAAAAAAATTGGCTTTTTTTGGCATATTGCCAAAATACCTCTTCTAAAAACCCACGAGTTTCCTTTTATAAGTAAAATAGGGCTGCAAGCATTTTATAAAATGGGAATGTGCAACAATTACTAGAAAAGATAAGCTCTGCCATGAAAGCCTTGTTTCAAAGCCTGACACAAATCAGGCTTAATCACCTCAGGAATGTTACCAGCCTTACTCCACTCGAGAAGTATCCTTGATTTCATTTGGGTTTTCTTTTTCTTTGTCCTTATTTCTAATACTGAGCATAGAAAATTGGACTCCCATGAGCAGATCTCTCTAAATAAAGCACTGTGGAGTGAAGACCTGGTAACCTACGCTTCCCCCCTACGCTTTGTTGTGAAAGGTACCTGTTATTGGTTGGTCACTTAGAAATATCTAAGAATCTATAAAACATTTTTATATGTGTATGTTGATATATTTATATATATTATTATTCATTTACCAGTGTACCTGAAAATGAAGTGGTCACTCAAATTGAATTTTCCTAACTGAATAATTTCTAACAATTTTAAGAAGAAATCTTTTTTTTTAATGTGCTATGTATCTTTCCACAATGTAGACTGTGCCGAACATAATTTTACTAGGTTTTGATGACTTAGATATATCAGTTATTGTTTGCTTCTTGTGTTAATGGATTCTGGCCTTTTATAGTTCTTTATTCTTTTTGTAATTTTTCTCAATCCTAGTTTGGCTCTTATTTTTTCCTTCCCCTATTCCATTTACTTCTGAAATGCTGCTGCCTTATTTTATACATTTTATGCTAGGTTCCTTGCTTTGCCCTTAAATTTTCTCCTTCACAGGGTCCATCTGCTCTGGTGGCTTCATCCACACGCAGAAGGCTGCTAGGTCTGCATCTCTAGTCAACCTCTGAGCTCCTTGCCCATAGACCCACTTGCCTGGACACTGATGCTTGGATGTCCTGCAGGCATCACTTGTGTTCCCACCTGAATGTTATTTACTGCCCCTCACCCCGTCCCCACCCTGCATCCTACTCCTGGATCACTCACGGTGAACGGCAGCGTCATCCATAGAGTTGCCCAGAGAGAAAAGCTGGATTTTGTTCATGACCACACTCTTTCTCACCCCTGTATCTAATCACTCACCAAGTCTTGTTTCTCCCACACTCCCACTGCCATTGTAGTTGGAAGTGTCTCCCTGTCCCAAGATTGTCACGACGGACCTCTGTTTTCCCTGCCTCCAGCCCAGCCTCTCCATAGTCCTTTCTCAACAGTTTGCAAGAGGCTCTGGCCTTCATCTTCCCCAGACTTCTCCCTGCATCTCTTCCTCACTCGGCCTTTCTTATGTCACCCTGGGCGAGGTGTCCATGCTGCTCCCAAAGGCCCAGCATGGCCATCTGTCAGAGGACCTTGCTCCCAGAATTATCCTCAGCCTTTGCTGAATGTCAGTTTTCCCTCCACTGCAGTGTGTATGGACATGCTCCAGGTTCTCCCGCCTCTACAGATTGTCTTGATGTTCCTCATCTTGCTCCACCTGTCAGCCCGTTTGTCTCCTTCCCTTCCCTAGAAAAGATTTCCTGAGCGATCTGCCGTGGTCATTGCCTGCACTACCCCCCTCTCCCTCACTTCAGCCTCTTCCCCAGCTGTGGGGGAAACTGCTGGTCAGGGTCCCCATGTCCTCCGTGTTGCCACACCCGGGTCTTCTCTTCATCACCCCATTACTTGACCTCTCAATGATATTTGGCACGGTTGAGCATTCTCTCCTCCACGAAACACTGTCTCTTGGCTTCTGAGACACCTTCGACCTCACTGGCTATTTTTGCACATCTTTGCTGGCTGCTCCCTGGCAGACCTCTAAACATGGGGCTCTCCAGTGGCTTTGTATTTGCACCCTTCAGGTTTCCTTCTGTGCTCGGTCCCTCAGTCCCCTCAACTATAGTCCTCGGCATTTTAAACAATCTGATGTCGGATTTGCCCCACAACTGCACGTTGTACATCATCAGTTGTGTGTCCCAGTGGTATGCCAGCAACCTGTGTCTTATCCAGAACTCTCGGTTTCCTCACCACCTCCCCTCCCGGCTTGCTGCTCCCCTCGTCTTTCCCATTTCAGTCCGAGTCACTCCCATGCCCCCAGCTGTTCAAGCCAGAAACCCAGCAGAGACTCATCCGGGCTTCTCCCATTTCCCTTCCTTCCTTTCATGTCATCTGTGGGCAAGTCCTACTTGTTGGCTATGCTGCTAAACACAGCCTGGCTCCTTTCATCTCCCTCCACCTCCATTCACCTTTTGCCTAGCATAGTGAAAGTTTTCTGGCCTCTCCTCGCCTTCCCCTGAACTTCTCCTCCACACAGCAGCTGGGGATATTTGTAAAGTGTCAGATCATGTCACTCCTCTGAAAAACTCTTCAGTGGCTCCCAGTGAAGAAGTCTCATGGGATGGGGATGCCTGGTGGGTGGCTCAGTCGTTAACCGTCTGCCTTCGGCTCAGGTCGTGATCCCAAGATCCTGGGATGGAGCCGCGCATCGACTCCCTGCTCAGCGGGGAGCCTGCTTCTCCCTCTCCCTCTGCCTGCTGCTCCCCTTGCTTGTTCTTTCTCCCTCTCTCTCTGTCTCTCTGTCAAATAAATAAAATTTTAAAAAATCTTTAAAAAAAGAAGTCTCACGAGATATAGCTCCACCTGCCCACTGACCTCCTCTCGCCCAACAGCCACCCCTCCCACACCGCCCCACGGCACACCAGCCTCCCCGCTGAGGGACCTTCCGCTGAGGGACCTTCCTCCAGCTTTTCTAGGGGACTCCTTTCCCAGGTCTTCGCATGGTGGCTCTGTGTTGGTATTTAGAGTTTCAACCCAATTCTATTTCATCTCCTCAGAGAAGCTTCCCCAGACCTTCTGGTCTAAAATAAAGTAGCCTCTTTACTCCCACCACCCAGTTCCTCTCTGACAGTATCCTGTTTTCTTCTTTACACAGCACAATTGCAAAATGAAGTTATATTGACCATTTTCTTGTTTTATGTGTCCTCACAAAAAGAATGTAAATTTTAAGAGAATGGAGATCTCATTTGTCTTGTTCATTGTCGTATCCTCAGCACCTGTAAGAGTGCCTAGCACAGAGGATGTGTCCAGTAAACACCTGTTGGATGAAATCTGATCACAGTTTCTGCCATTTCAATGGCTCACTCTTCCCTTGAGAATAAAGTCCAAGTTCCTTGAAATGGTTTGGTCCCTCTGTGATCTGGCTCCTACTTATTCTTTAACCCACTGGTTCTTAATGGGGGCATTTTGACTTCCCCTCCCCACAGAAGAAAGATATTTGGCAACATCCACAGACAGTTTTGGTTGTCATAACGGTGGGAGTGCTGCTGGCATCTAGTGGATAGAGGCCAGGGATGCAGCTCAGCGGCCTGCACTGCACAAGACAGGCCCCACAAAGAGGGATCTGGTGCAAATGTCCGCACTGCTGCGCTCGAGAGTCTGGCTGGTTCTCTGTTGCACTCAGAGTTCTAGCCTTGCTGAAAGGCCATGTTCTTCTAGCCTCTGAGCCTTGTCCTTGCTAATGTCCCCACTGAACACTCCTTCCTCTTCCTACTGTTCTGCTGCTGGCTCTGTTCCTTGCCTAGATGGGGTCTTGAGGCAAACTAATCTCTAGCCGTTACAACAGGGAGTTAATCTGTTCTGGCAGTTGTGAGACTGTAAAGGTAATGTAAGTTTCTATCTTCAGGTAAATTTAAGTTTTTACCTAAATTGAAGGTAACTTCGGTGTACAAACATAGTCTTCATGTCATTTTGTTTAGATGAATAGAACTATTATCAAGGACTGTGGTATTATTTCTATTAATCCAACTGCAGAGAATAATTGGAGTGAATTAATAAAACTGCACCCATGCAGTTAAAGCCCAAATCCATAAAATTTGGTTTTGTCAGTTTTAAGCTACGATTTGGGCTATTTAAACACCTACCAGTGAGTTTTAATTTCTTTGTTTTTCATGTTTTGTGCTTCATTAAAATATTTCCTTTTGAATGATTAATACATGTGGCTCTTTTTTTTTTTTTTAAGATTTTATTTATTTATTTGAGAGAGAGAGCGAGAATGAGAGACAGAGAGCATGAGAGGGAAGAGGGTCAGAGGGAGAAGCAGACTCCCTGCCGAGCAGGGAGCCCGATACGGGACTCAATCCCGGGACTCCAGGATCATGACCTGAGCCGAAAGCAGTCGCTCAACCGACTGAGCCACCCAGGCGCCCACATGTGGCTCTTTTAAGTGCATCAAAAATTATGTGTAGATGATGCCTTTAAAGAACAGAAGAAGTGAGATTTGGGTACTTTGTTAGATGAACTTGCCAATTCCTGTTATGATATTTGAATACCATCAATGGAAGTTGACTGCAGTGTTTTGACTTGACAGTCTGCTTTTATCAGGAAACAAAGCTTTGTGGCCCTACTTTTGTCCCTCCCCAGCATTCCTAGTATCACGGACAAAGGAAAATGCTTTAAGGTGCTCGTATTTGTAAAGACCCCCACACAAGGATTACAAAGTTATATAGATTTTAGTATAAGAGCAATAGAAGCACAGCCCACTAATTTGTCTTAAAACTACAATTTGCATTTTATGATTTTTAAATCACTCAAAGAAGACTTTTAAAATAATTATGTTTATATAATGCTCTGCTTGCTGGTGAGTTTATAGCTTACAATATTAATTAATACTGCTTTCATTGCAGCTTCTCTCTCGCTTTTTTTTTTTTTTCATATCAGGAGTTTTGTGCAGTGGTTATTTTTTAAAAGCTTTCCAAAGAACAAAACATTTTTTTTTTAAGAATGAAAATATTCTCTCTGGCATTGCATATTTGTTTTACTGTGTTTCTAGCACTGTAGAATTTCTTTCTTTTTGTATGTTCTGACTTGGTAGGTATTGGCTTTGGCTTTGAAAACAGTTAAATCTTTTAGCTTATCCATATCTTTATCTGAAATTTATACATCAGCCTTGCTAAGAAACCCCAAACAGGCACTACACATTTTACCTACCCCTTAATTTAGAACTTTGGCACCAGGCGGATTGTCCAGCTGTGCCTTCCCATTACTCTCACCTTTCTGCCCTCTAGCCTTACTTCACTGGGTTCTATACTCGTTCTTTTCTACCGTGAATATTTACTGAATTCACTCACCAAGCTCTGTCCTAGAGGGTAGTGATAGGCTCTAAATACAAGGTGATCTCTTTGGAATGACAAATTCCCAAGTAATTACATTTAATAACGTGTGATAAGTCCTACAATGGAGAGGGGTACAAAAGACTCTGGTGGCATAGGATTTTTAAAAGTCACTTCTGCTTGGGGGATTGAAGACTGAGAGGATGGAATACTTGAACCAGACTCCTAGATAGGAAAAGGGCAGGGGAGCTGGGGTGAGAGTCCACGCAGCAAGAATAGAATGACTTACTTGCAGCCATTGCTGGTCCAGAGACTTGCTGGTCATCTTCATTTCCTGCTTCCTCCCTCCTAAGTGATATAATCAAGCATAATCCTGCCATCAGCTATAATATTATGCTGTATTTTGAATAGATAATTTGAGTTAGGTTTTCCATTCAAAAGGAATAAAGAGAGGGCGCCTGGGTGGCTCAGTTGGTTAAGTGACTGCCTTCGGCTCAGGTCATGATCCTGGAGTCCCGGGATCGAGTCCCACATCGGGCTCCCTGCTCAGCAGGGGGTCTGCTTCTCCCTCTGCCCTCTTCCCTCTCGTGCTCTCTGTCTCTCATTCTCTCTCTCTCAAATAAATAAAATCTTAAAAAAAAAAAAATTAAAAAAAAAAAAAGGAATAAAGAGCCACCGAAGACAGGTCATTAGGGAGCTGTCTGGCTGTATTTATTTAGCTTTGCACATCTTTGAGTAGACCTAAATCTGCTCTGGAGGTCATGTACATCTCTTTGTCTTTCTTAGTTCTTCCCTTCTTATCTCAAGACTTACTGTAAATAAAAAGCTGCTTTGTTTGAGGTATTTTTATTTTGGAGAGTGTTATTTTCTCAAAATTGATTTAGTTGTGGCTAAGGGAAAAAACTGAAGAGGCAGCTGTCAGAGATTTTATTTCTGAAGAGGTTCAAACTCTAGAAAGAAAATTACTTTAGAAAGAAGTCATCTAGCTAAGAGTCTTTATGTGCTTGAATTTCATCCTCAAGAACACTTATCTTAGAAAATGACTTGACTGGTCAAGGAATCATTATAGGAAGAAGGTGGGAACAGGCATCAGGTTAAAACATTTCAGTTATGAATGGGATAAAAGAAACCATCAAAAGTTGGTCTTTTAAAAGGATCCCTCTAAGATGTTAGCCATCATTAAATAAAGATGATCATTTTAAAAATTCCAGTTTTCAGTTTGACAAATGGTTACCATAAGTCTGACCACCATTGTGGAGAGGACTCAGGTATGTGGTGCTCTCACCATGGTGTGTGTCATGGAGCTTGTGACCCCATACTCTCTAAATGGGGAGTCTGGTCCCTGCTAGAGTGCCGAGTCACACTGAAACAGGATTGCAAGAACTCCAGTAATAGCCACACTTTTCCAGCCCTCACCAACTCCTTTGCTTATTATTCCTGTCTTTCTGGACGGCATTTCAGTGGCGGAAAGAATAAGAATAGCTTTCCAAGGCCAAAATATGAAATATTCATTTTGTCAAGATTTGGTGTTCTGAAACTGAAATGCTTTTGCTTGTTTGTTTGTTTTCTGACTGGGAGGGGGCTGTGAATGCTAAGAGCCCTATTAAGGAAGAGCATATTGCTTGCTTAGAAGGAGAGGAGAACTTTGAGGAATGATTATATGGTCAGAATTCTATTTACAAGTGGGGAGAAAGTGCCATTATTTTTATTTGGACTTTTGTAGTTTACTGGGTTTATTAGAGGATATATATTTCATCAGATGTAAAGCTGCTATCTTCTTAGTAACTTCCAAGGAAGTTCATTAAGACTGACCAGAGAAATGCAGAGGAAGGCAAGGTATACTGATGCCCTGTTGTGCACTGGCTAATATTTGTTTTACTGTTTTAATCAGTTATCTGATTTGTGCGTTGGCCAAAATTTGCCATTTTAAGGACATTTAAGATCTGTCTTCATTTTAATAGAAGGCTATCGCCCCACCTGTCGACTTGAGAAGTCGTTTTTAATCACGACTCTGAATCACAGGCTTCCCTTTGGCATGAGAAAGAAGTAACAGCGTCTCGCCGTGAGTTTTCGCTGTTGGACTAGCTAGGGCACAGTCGGCCACTTCACCTGTTGTCAGCTGCTGTGACTTCCCCACGGCTGTGGGTCATGGTCGTGACTGCTACAAAGGCAGTGGGACCTTTCCAAATAGAAAGTTCTCAAATTGGATACAACATAAAACAGGAGCCCCCCTTCTCCTACAGATGCAGAGAAATGGTGAAGGCGACCATTTGGAGACAGAGCACACACACCTTACTCTTCCCGGCAGGGATACAGTTCAGAAAACTTAACCCTATTTTTATCTGTACTTATTGGGATTATTTTTACTTGGCATCTGTAGCAAAAATAGAAAATCAGTAATCCCAGGGATCTGTGTTGAGCCATCATACACGGTAAAGATTGCAGAGAATTCGTGTTTATAAAACTTTCACTCCAGAATTCATTTGCTAGAGAAGCCCTTTTCCCACCCCAGGCCGAGGCGAGTACTTTCCTGGGGGCCCTTGAGATGCCCCGCGGGCTGGCCGCCAAGCGCAGCCGCAGTAGGGGCTGCGGGGCCTCCGACACCACGGCCTCGCGCAGCCGCAGTAGTGGCCTGAGGGGCCTCCCAACAGCCACGGGCTTGCGCAGCCGCAGTAGCAGGCGGAGGGGCGTCTAACGGTTACCCCCCGCCTTCCTTCACGCCTCGGAGCTTGTCTGTCGCTTCCTTCGGTTCTCTTCCTCCGTGTCTGGAGTAAGTGGCCATGAGATGGGCAGTGGGAGTCCTGCGGGCCGGCCGGAGAGTGGGCGCTGGGAGAGTGAATCCGCCGTGTCCCCGCCGGCCGGCGGGCCTCCCGCTCACGGGCGCCTGGGCCGTCACCCCCGTGTCCAAGATGGCAACCGTCAAGTGTGAGCTTATCGAGAATTTTACTTCCGAGGAGGCCGTTCATCACAGCAAGGTCTCCATTATAGGAACCGGGTCGGTTGGCATGGCCTGTGCTGTCAGCATCCTGTTAAGGGGCTTGACCGATGAACTCGCCCTTGTGGATGTCGATGAAGACAAACTGAAGGGTGAGACCATGGATCTTCAGCATGGCAGCCCTTTCGTGAAAATGCCGACTATTGTGTCCAGCAAAGATTACCTGGTCACTGCGAACTCCAGCCTCGTGGTCATCACAGCAGGGGCACGCCAGGAAAAAGGGGAGACACGCCTTAATTTAGTCCAGCGAAACGTGGACCTCTTTAAATTAATGATTTCCAGCATCACCCAGTATAGCCCTCGCTGCAAAATGATTGTTGTTTCCAATCCAGTGGATATATTAACTTACGTGACCTGGAAGTTGAGTGAATTTCCCCGAAACCGTGTTATTGGAAGCGGTTGTAATCTGGACACTGCCCGTTTCCGTTTCTTGATTGGGCAGAAGCTTGGTATCCACTCGGAGAGCTGTCATGGGTGGATCCTTGGAGAGCATGGAGACTCGAGTGTTCCTGTGTGGAGTGGAGTGAACGTCGCCGGTGTCCCTCTGAAGAATCTGAACTCAGATGTAGGCACTGATCAAGATCCTGAGCAGTGGAAAAATGTCCACAAAGATGTGATTGCTAGTGCCTATGAGATTATTAAAACGAAAGGTTATACTTCTTGGGCCATTGGCCTCTCTGTAGCTGATCTAACAGAAAGTATTTTGAAGAATCTTAGAAGAGTGCATCCAGTTTCCACCATAATTAAGGGTCTCTATGGAATAAACGAAGAAGTATTCCTCAGTGTTCCATGTATCTTGGGAGAGAGTGGTATTGCAGACCTTATAAAGATAAAGCTGACCCCCGAAGAACAGGCTTGTCTGAAGAAGAGTGCAGAAACACTCTGGGAGATCCAGAAGGAGCTCAAGCTTTAAAGCGCTTGGAACTCCCTTTCTGAAGTTACTGAAGGGATAGTAGTTAACAGGGTTTTGTATGTCTAATTTTTTTTATAAGCTTGAATTTCTAGAAGTTGGAAACAGGAAAGGAAGTAGAGTGAGTTACCTGTTTATTTAGCCCCCCAGCTTTTTTATTTAGTATCCAGATGTCAGGATGATTTTTTCCCCCCACAATTATTAAGTGATTGCATCAAAGGAGGTGTTTTTGTACCACTAATGTACCAGTACTTGCTGTGTTGTGTGGTTGCAGTTGCTCTTTGGTCCAAAAAGGATTAGGATGTAGGTGTTTGTGTTACAGAAATGATAATTTTCATTAAGTACATGTTCTTTCATTCTGGATGGCTTATACTTACTGTGTTCATTTATATACTGTTTTTAAGATGTTGTAATTTCCTCTACAATGTAAAAATAAATATACATACAGAAGTACTTTCTGTAATGGAGCTGTCAGCTGTCTTCATTCCCCTGTGACTATCAGCTGGGCCTTAAAAAAAAAGGCATTATAAAACGGAGGCTGTGAGTAGGTCCTGTTTGTTGGGGGGGAGGGGCACACACATGCTCGTGTATGGATGCCAGTGAAGCAGGATCATTAGGTTAAAATATGAAAATAGGAGTGATCTGGTTGGTAGCACTTATAAAGTGTTTAATGCAGTAAAATGTAAAGCTTTTAGAAAGAGACCTGACAGACGGCAAGTGTTACTGTCATTTGTTCAGCAGGGAAAGGAAACATACTTAAATTTTGGAGCTGATAAAAACAAAGCCTGACTAAAATTATTTTAGAACTGGCTCTGAGATCCTGACCTGTTAGCACGTTAAATCAGGAAGTGTGTTACAGACTGTTCTTGTTAGGCCTGGTTTTATCAGCGGAGTGGGCCCTGGCCCTAAGATGCTCCAGGGTCATCCCTGTTGCTCAGTTTACTTCACATTAACAGAAAGCTTTTGTTTTTGAATTTTGCCTTGTTGTTAATCATTGTCATAAAAATTGGTTATTTTAATGAGTACTTCAGAGATTTTATTTCTCAGAAAGTCACACATTCACTTTTTATTCCTAAATCAGTTGGCTTTACTATAGATTCTAGACTATGCATGTGATACAGTGTGGGTTTAGGAGAAAGTGAAGCTGCTTATCAGACCTTTACCTAAATGATATACTAATAACTTAGAAAATAAGATTTTTTTAAAAGATCTGTTTATTTTAGAGAGCGAGCCCAAGCAGGAGGGGCAGAGGTATAGGGAGAGAGCATCTCAGGCGGACTCTGCTGAGTACAGAGCCTGACGCAGGGCTCCATCTCACGACCTTGAGATCACGACCTGAGCTGAAGCCAAGAGTCGGATGCTTCACCAGCTGCACCACCCAGGCGCCCTGAGAAAGATTTTTAAATTCATGTTAGCTTTCCTAATGCAATTGAATATTAAATAATATGGTGTGTTCAAACATATCTCAGGATCCATGTGGATATCTGCAGGGCTAAACAAAATTGAAAGGTATCAGCATCTCCTCTCTAAAGTCAGTCCTGGGGCGCCTGGGGGGCTCAGTTGGTTAAGGGTCTGCCTTTGCCTCAGGTCATGATCCCAGGGTCCTGGGATCAAGTCCCACATTGGGCTCCCTGCTCGGCGGAGAGTCTGCTTCTCCCTCTGCCTGCCACTCCCCCTGCTTGTTCTCTCTCTCTCTCTGACAAATAAATTTAAAAAAATAAAATAAGCCAGTCCTGCTTGGTTGATAGACCTAGGACAGCAGTTCACCCCCAAAAAATGACCCTTTACCATAGTGATCAGAACTCCCATACTATTTTATTGGAAACATCTAGAAATGTTCTGATTACCCAGGAAGTAGTATCATATAATGGGACTAATTGTTGTACTGAGCTCTCTGAAAGTGGGGAGAATGGTGGTTTGGTGGTTCCAGCTGATTCTAAGAGCTATTTAAGCTTAACTGCACAGAGTTTCTCTTCCCCTTTGTCCAGCCCTTGAGTTTTTATTCAGCCATGTTTCGGCCAAGTTTAGTGTAGTTTTGAGGGGGATCAGAGAATGCCCTAGGTCTGTTTTGTAATTCTCTTCACTATGTCAGTCAGGATAGGCTGGGTTATACTACATTGAAAAAACAGTCTCCAGATGTGTGGCTTAAAATAACAACGGTTTATTTCTCTTGTAAAATCCACTGTGGGTTTACTTGAGTCTCTAGGGGAGCTGTCCTACACAAGGTGGCTTCGTACCTCAGATTGTTTTGATCTTGAGGCACCTCTGTAGTAACACAGGATTCCATTATTTCCATGGAAAGGTAAGAGTGGCCTGGAAACAGCTGCAGTTAAATGCTTCACCCTGCAAGTGATGCACATTTCTTTTGCCAGAACTAGTCATGTGGTTACCTAACTTCAAGAGGGTGGAGAAGTATAACCTCCCTATATCGAGAAGTACATGATCTCTGGTTATCAGTGAACATTGATAATAATCTGCCATACCATTCTAAATAAAATAGTAGCCATTTTAAGAGTATATATGCTTTTGAAGTCATTTTTAGTGTAAGCGGGTGTGTGATTAGAGGTTATAGAGGTACCAAGTCTTTCCAGGTCACAGAACCAGCGTGGCTATGGAGAAAGAGCCTGGGACATCATTCAGTCAGTTGTACTTAGAAAGCACGTCACCATGGCTGGGTTAACCTCTCTGACCTCTGGTTTCTCATATGTAAAGTGGTAGTTCTCATTTCTGCCACATAGAATTGTAAACACTAAATAATAGCCTGATGCTTGGTACAGTGCCTGGCACCTAGGTAATCTCAAATGGCAGGCATTTTTATTCCTGTTCAAGTAACAGTTATAGTCTTATTCTATTTTATGGAAAAGCTGAATTTCCAGGTTTTTCAAAATTACTCTTGGCACCATGATTATTGACATATCCAAAGGCTTTCTTATCAGTTGGTTCTATAAAGCTTTCATCATTCTACCTCCGGCACTGAAGTCCTGCAAGAGGTAATTGAAGTTAAATGAGCTAGTCAATGGCAAAGACATTTTACAACTTGAGCTTTTAATTCCAAATAACTGCTTATATTTTAAAGAATAGATGCTCTAAGGGTTTTCTCAAATTAATTGGGTACATATCCTGAGCTTTTAAGGAGTTTTTCAGCACACCATATATCAGACCAAAAGTCTTCATGTTTTTTTCCCTGCCAAGACATGCATGATAAATGTGCAGCAGTATCCCATGTTTCACTCCTGGCATACTAGCCATATGGCCCTTCAAAAAGCTGGTGTAATGTGAATGAGAGTAACATTATTAGAGGCATAATCTTGAATCTGTTCTAATATCTAAAAAGTTGCTCCTACCCAGTCTTCAGAATGTCCATATTAGTGACAAAGTACTTATAATAGGTTTCCCAACTGTCATGACATTGTATTTGAGAACTGCCTTCAGAAAGTATACTTTCTGATCATATGACAACCCATCACTGTCAGACACAAACACTGGGACTTAAGGATGAGGTTCTTGAGCAGTAGGCTCGTTGCCCAGGGGGTGCCGTTCCTGTCTTAGTCTTTGTGGAGGGCAGCGCCTGGAGTTGTGCAGTACACACAGTTGCCCTGTTTAGAAGGGTAGCCCTGCGACCCATAGCCAAGGTCAGATTCTCCCTGGTCAGAGGAAAGAGGGGAAGAGGAGAGAAGAGATCCCAGAGTTTGCAAAATGCTGCAGAGTAAAACTGAGTTACTGGATAGAGACTAGTTCCCAGCATGCCCCAACCTCACCAAACTTTTGGGATATAAGGTAGGGCATGGCTTATGGCAATAGCTGTCATTGTTATTGTGGAATCCAGTACATTGGTGTTATAATTAAATTTGCTTAAATTAACTCAACCCCTAAATCTTTTCAAGCGCATTTTTAAGCAGGAGAAGGTTCTATTGGCCTGTGATAGAGTATCACTGATAAGACCAACACCTCTGAACTGCATATCAGAAATTGACAGAGGTAAAAAAAAAAAAAAAAAAAAGCTTTCATTTCCTATCCATATAACAAAAATAGGACAAACTTAAAAATCTACTGTGGAAACCCTTGTTTAAGGCAACATGAAGCCCTGTTTATAACCTAAATGTGGACTCTGGGTTTCCATTTCCACAGCTGTAAAATTAAAGAAGAGGCCTAAATGGTGTTCTTTATCTACTTGCCTCCCTTCCTTTACTTCTCTTTGAAGCCTGTCTATTCCTAATTGGCTCTTTTTCAGATATGATTCCTTCCGGTGGTTCAGTAACTCATTTATGACTCTGGGAGCAAGTAAATGATACAATACTTGGGAAATTAAAGACAAGAAAAAAAAAATCAGTCCAAGAGGAGGAAATGAGAACACAGGTCCCCATGCTGAAGTAGAGCAGTGACTCTAGTCCCCAGACCTCATCTCCGTTCCCCAGCTTCTCCCTTCTCAGCAACTGCCCATGTTCCACATCCCTGAGAAGGTGAAATGGTAAATGATTCTCTTCATGTCCTCACTCTCTGACTCCCCATTTGAAAACTGTCGTTAGGTTTAGTTGTGACAGATGTTCAACCAGTAAAGGTGAAGGGAAAGAACTAGGCAGCACATTGCAGACCCTGGCCAGAGAGGTCTTTGAACTGAGAAAGTCTATGCAAAAGATTCCTCAACGGGGCCATGTTGGTATTTTAGACAACGCAATTCTTTTTTTTTTTTTTTTTTTAAGATTTTATTTATTTATTTGAGAGAGAGCACGAGGGAGAGGGAGAAGCAGGCTCTCTGCTGAGCAGGGAGCCCGATGTGGGGCTCGATCCCAGGACCCCGGGATCATGACCAGAGCCGAAGGCAGACGCTTAATGGACTGAGCCACCCAGGTGTCCCCAAAGCAATATGTTAGATATTTAGAATCTGCCCCCCTCCCGTGCAAATAGCAGTTCCCTGTGATTTTGACAACCAAAATGGCATGACACGATTTGAGAACTGCTGTTTGGAACTACAGTTCCAACCCCTCCCCAGTACTGCCTCTAGTCGACAACCTCTCATGAAGGATTCACCACAGTACAAGCTAGAGAGCTGCATGGGAGACAGGGATGGGGAGAGACATACGTGCCATGGACGTGTGTGTCTTGAGTACTGGTGTCTGGGACCCAAACATGGGGATGGTTGGCATGGACCTCCTACAGACTACATAGAATGGGTAACCTTATGGATCTCCCAATGTCAAAATACTTAGACCAAATGATATTGAACTACAAGTAATGCTTTAACAAACCCACCATATTATCCATGTGAACTTTGTTTTTGGAACACAACACTGATGATGCTATAATGACAATAGCTAATATATATTGAGCGCCCCCACGTGGTAGGTGCTGTGCTTTCATCCTCACCACCTGTAAGCAGGTAATGATCGCCATTCTACACATATGGAATCTACTGCTTAGAGAGAGGAAGCAGTTTTCCCAAGTAGTGGAGTTAGGATTTGAACAGTGAGGTCTGTCTGATCCCAGAGTCCGTGCTGCTAATAGCTGCAGCGAATGCCTAGGAACTGACAAGTCCTGAACACGACCCACTTGCTGAATTTAGAAACAAGGTAAGGAATCGGCTTCAAAATGAAGTGAAATAAAAAAACATTAGCCGACTCTCAAAATAACCACTCCAGGAAATGACTTGGTGTTGTCAGTGAGTCCCCGGTGCTTCACAGGTCTGATTGAGGGGATCCATATCCTTGAGAAATGCAGTTAGGATATGGCTGATGAGAATATCGTAACACGGCGCTGTAGTGCTGAAGTGATACCTTCACAGCAGGACCAGATAGATTAAAATAATGAATCAAACTGTGTGGCTGGGACTATCTAATGTAAAGATTATCCAACTCCCATAAGTGAGTGTTGCCCTCCCTTCGGGCCGTGCGCTCCGTACGTGGAGCCAGGTGCTCTGGGCTGACACTGCGTATTGAAGATCTTCAGCCCCCTGCCCCAGCTCTTGGGTTCCAGATCCACCTCTGCCGGTAAAACCTCTACACAGATTCTTCAACGCTGTCTGGCATATGAGAACATTCTAGTTTATCTGCCATCCACTGGCTCATTCTTTATTAACCTCCTACTGAGTTTCTTCTCTCCACTTCTTCCTTTTGGCTCCAAAATTCTTGGTATATTTAAGATAAACAGAACCCCCCCCCCCAATAAAGAAACCCCAGAACTCCCATTCTCCTATCTTTATATATGAAAGCCAACAATACACAGCATTCTTCTGGTAGGAAATAAATATCATGGAGGGTTGACAAGTTAAATTATGTTGCCTTCCAGATTCAGAATGGCGTTTTATGTTAATTGAAAGCCCATAGATTAATACTTGGAAGAAGAAAAGAGGTGTCTCATTTCCTTTTAAGGTAGCTAGAGCAGTCTTTACCTTTTATTGTACCCACAAGCAATGAAGCATCACTCGGGCAGCAACAGGGTCTCTCTCTAATTTCTTTGGCTCTTTTCCCCTTCTTTTAATTTTGATGACTGATTTTTCTTCTTCTTTCAGATGAAAGACTTTCGAAGGAAACTGCAATCAATATTTCCAGCAATTCCCAAGAACTCCGAATCTTCTCTTGAGTGGGAGGAAACATTGAAATCCAAATGAGATGAGCATGGTGGGGAAAGTCTAAAACTGTCATGGCAAGGGTAGCTTTGGAGGTGCCACAGAAGCAAAGGGACTCCCCTGATTTGTCATCAGCAACATGTGCCTTGGTGACTGAACCCACGGGATGGATGGCGTTCAGTGTCCACACAGGAGGCCCACAGTCTGTGTGCTTTACTTTAACATTGATGTGGCGTGTGTGTGTATTAAGGTTTTCCCAAAATTAGGAGGATCCTTTCAAAGTAATTATATGGATAAGTTCTTGGCGGAGAAGATCCCAAGGGAAATATTTCTGTTAGTAACAGCTAAAACTAAGTTTTGTACCTGAAAAAAAAAATGTAAAATAACAGACGATGGAAAATCTTTATAGACAAACTCCTACCAGCACTGGTACCTCAATGTGTCTAATTAAATGAGTTTCCACAGCCTTTCTTGTTGGTATGTGATTGTCAGGACATGGAAGGCTCCCTCCTGTTAGGCCAACTCCACAGTGACAGGTGAACGGGGAAACCCTGTCTGTCAGGCCCCAGCAGGTGTGTCCTGTTGTCCTGAATGCAGCCCTGGATTTGCACCTGTTCGTCAGTTAGCTGATGAGCTCACCTCAAGGCCCTGGAAATTCTCAGACATAGAGAAGCAGCAGCCAGTAACAGATTATGCTAACCTGAAAAGGTAGTCATCTAAAATAATAATGATATAATGGATATAACACGTTCTTTTTTGAGAAGTTGGTTCTGTGTCCCTAAACATTGACTAATAGTTTGTAGTTTTATCTCAATTGTTAATGTAAAAATAGGCCAGTTATCACCTATCTTAAATATTTTTAACCAGAAAGTTACCTAGGTATTGAGTCTCAATATTAAGTAGTTAGTTCTGCCACCTCATGGATTCTTTTTTTTTTTTTTAAAGATTTTATTTATTTATTTGAGAGAGAGAATGAGATAGAGTATGAGAGGGGGGAGGGTCAGAGGGAGAAGCATACTCCCCGCTGAGCAGGGAGCCCGATGCGGGACTCGATCCAGGGACTCCAGGATCGTGACCTGAGCCGAAGGCAGTCGCTTAACCAACTGAGCCACCCAGGCGCCCCCACCTCATGGATTCTTACACATAGGCCCAGCCCTTTCCTGTCCTCCATGATATCTTAGAGAAAACAGAGGATAATGCCTACATGCAATTATTTCTACTGGAGATGAACATTTTTTAAAGAAAGTACTTTAATATGTCAGTATATCCCAAAAAATATGGTTGGATATCAGTAGTGCAATTTCTTTATAATTACTTAGGCTCTAATTAGCAATCCAGTTTAATAAAGTACATTTGAAATTTTTCTGTTATAATGAAACCTTTTAGTTCTAAGGAAAATTTTTTAATGAAATGTCAAGTGCATAATGTAACATTTTTCTCTGGACCGCGTTACCCTGTTAAAGTTGCTGTGTTGTTAATTAATTAAACAGGTGTAAGCAGCATCTGGGATTCATATGTAACCTGTTAAAAATCCAGGACTAAAAGGAAAGAACTGTGGAATTTATCAGGGCATGTGGAGTAGCTAAAACTCTTCACCCAGCTTTCATTTTTAACTAAATCTCTGCTAAGAAAAGATTTCTAGCCTCTGAATGGGAGGAAGGAAGGAAAGGCAAGAGCCAAACTGAACAGGTTGTGTCCATATTACTGGCCTGAGTCTAGGAGCATGGTGGGTATGTTCCATTCCCACAGGCCTGGGACATGGGAGGCCTGAGGAATGAATGTTCGGATACATACCTCTGTGGCATGCCTCATGTTTACAAACCCTTCTCATATATGTCTGTCGTCCTTGAGGGATGGCAAGGTGGCCCCATAAGAATGATCTTGAATCACCTGCAGAGGGAAGGTTGATGGGGAGAGACTCCCTAGAATACACCAGGCATAGGCTGCAGTTGCATTTTAAAAGCAGAAATGAAGTAACACAGATGAAAGTTTAAAGGAAAACAAGCAATATGACTGAAGTGATATTTTTCTACAGTCAAAACTCAGAAGATTTAGTCATTTGTCTATTGCTTTTATACCAGAGGCATATTGTTAAATTGGTTAATGGAAAGGAAAAATGTTTAACAGATAATGTTATTCTTTATGTGAAGTACCATCTGTGTATTGAGTACTGAATGTTCCTGGATATGGAAGAGAGGAAATGTTACGGAATTTCAAGTTTGCCTTCTTTGCTGTCTTTATCTTGGGTAGAGTATGACAAACATAATCACATTTATCTCCTGGAGCATAAAGAGTTTTAATCACCCTATTAACCAGGATGACATTTTTCACAGACTTAAAAAGGAATAGAACAGACATTATCTCCCCATAAGCAATCCATTTCATGGAGGCTGAGCACTAGAAATTTTTTAAAGGATGGGTAACACAAGCCATTTCCATTTCATGCGTAAGCCAACATTAAGGCGGCTTTCCATAAGAATGTTGCTTACGCTGGTTGAGTGTTAAGCTTTACGTTTAGAATCTCAGCACCAAAAGAGCTATTAGAGAAAGCAATATAGAGAAAATGCGATGGGCAGGGCGGGGCGACTTCCTAGGCCTCGGGATTCATTCACGGAAAAAAAAAAAAACAACACATGTATTCCAGGAAGTTATTGCTACCCCATAAAAACGTATCCATGGGCTGCTCTTCAGAGTCAAGAAAATATGATTTCTAAACAACCCCAGAATGAAAAATAGGGCACAGGAAGGGCCTCACATGATGCCGAGCTGCCCATCCCCACAAGAAACCGGGATTCTAATGATCTGGAGTTGGAGTGAGCAGCTGCGGGGCCCAGCAGCACTGAGGTGTGACCACAGGTGACCCTCGTTCTGTTGGACTGACACAGGCCGACGTCGGAAAAACCTTGCTTAGTGCTCAGTCAAAAGGTGGCACCTAATCACCTCCTCTGTCATACATTCTGCTTCGCTTCATGGACAGTATGGGACTCAACTTGCAAATTAATCATGCAACCTAAGGGGAAAATATAAGAAATTAAGAAAAAAAGAAGCCCATGGGGACAAAAGTAATTAAAATCCACTGAATTTAGCTATTTCACTTGGGGCAAAATTTAATCTCTCCTAGGTTTGGTTCATGGAGAATATTGTATATTGTCACCAATTTTCATGTATCTTCTTTAAAAATAAAGCAAATAGTTAAGTATAAAGTAAAATCAGCCAGGTAGACTATAAAATTATTTCTCCAAATAGTTAAATTTCTCACGAAAGGCAGTAAAATACAGATTCTTATAGTATTTTATCATATTCAGGTGAGATGCTTTTCCTTTCTGCCAAGAGCCATTGAATAATATGTCAAGTATTGGGGTTTCTATATTGGTGTTATCAGGATTAATTATCAAAGGCTGTGCTTACATAAGAGGAAAGTAAGCATCTCTTGCAAGCAGTGACATTGATCTGTTAATAATGAGTGAGGCTGTTAGCAAATTCTGTCTGATGGTAGATAACTCAGTTTGGGAGAAAATTAGACCAAGAAGCACATAGAGCTCAACTTTTCTGCCCAAGTAGTAGAGTGATTCAGGACCTAATCTGTATTTCTCATAGAAGCTTGCCTCATTATCATTTGGTGAGGCATCACTTAGTTAAAAAAAAAAGAACACAGGGGCGCCTGGGTGGCTCAGTCGGTTAAGCGACTGCCTTCGGCTCAGGTCATGATCCTGGAGTCCCAGGATCTAGCCCCGCATCGGGCTCCCTGCTCAGTGGAGAGTCTGCTTCTCCCTCTGACCCTCCTCCCTCTCATGCTCTCTGTCTCTCATTCTCTCTCTCTCAAATAAATAAAATCTTAAAAAAAAAAAAATTAAAAAAAAAAAACACAAAACAATAGTGAACACAGGCAAGAGATCATGTGAACGTTCTCAATGACAGAAGGGTAAAAGCCATTTTTTTTTTTAATTTTATTTTGAAAGAAAGTGCGCAATCAAGCATGAGCCGGGGAGGCGGGTGGCGGGGGGGCAGAGAGCCCGATGTAGGGCTCGATCCCAGGACCCTGAGATCATGACCTGAGCCACAGGCAGATGCTTAACCAACTGAGCCACCCAGGCGCCATTCTTAAAGGCCGTTCTTTTTTTTTTTTTTTTTTTTTTTAAGATTTTTATTTATTTATTTGACAGAGAGATAGTGAGCACAAGTAGGCAGAGCGGCAGGCAGAGGGAGAGGAAGAAGCAGGCCCTCTGCCAAGCAGGGAGCCCGATGCGGGGCTCGATCCCAGGACCCTGGGACCATGACCTGAGCCAAAGGCAGCTGCTTAACCGACTGAGCCACCCAGGCGCCCCTTAAAGGCCGTTCTTAAAGGACTGTCTTAAGAAGGCAAACCTCAGTACCTTGGCACATTTATACAGCACCTATTACCTGCTCACCTGAAAATGTTCCAAAATCCATCTTCATGCGGTCACTGCCTGATGCCTCGGGCTTAGCGTGGGAGTCCAGGTCTGCAGCCTGACAGATGACCCTCCACCACACACATCCAGGTGACTGCCTGGAACTCAAGGCTCCCGACCACAGCCTTGGGGTTCCAGCCAGCTTGGGCCCGCTGTCTGAAGAGAACACAAGTGGCCACAGTGACTTAGAGATCCTTCAGTTGGGATAGAGATTACAAAGCTAAGAAAATTAGAGTGTCGTAAATCTCATGCAAAGCTAACAGAAGACCTCTTGTCAAAAGATACGAATGATTGAGGAAACCCTTTGCTTTGAAACTTGCTTCTGGGCCAGCCCTGACTCTCTTAGAGATTTTTATTACAGATGATCGTAGTAAAGTATCTGTGGGAACATTGCATCATCAAGCCTACCACATCCTTATCTAAGGGAAGACTCTTTTTATGCAACTCCCTAGCAGTCAAGAGAGATGGCCCCTGGATCTTGTTCAGGCTTTTCCAGAATTGGAGGCAGATGGCCCTTTAACCTAGGGCTCTCACTCAACAAATCGACTTGCGCAGCTGTTTTCCCTGTGTCTTTCCAAATATCTCTCACATACAAAGATGTTCCCATGGGAATTGTCCACATTTGCCATCTCTGATACGTCTACTGACAATGAGTTTGGGGGTGGAATCCATAGTCTTCACAGGCGTACCTTTGCTTTAATTTCTCAATACTCCAAATATTACCAAAGGAGTAGGGAATGAAGGGCTAGGTTAAAAACACAGGTCCGGTGAGACCTGAGAAAAGCACCTGCTCCCCAACAGGGAAGTGGGCGTTCATCCTTGCATAGTCTCTCCAGGTTCAGGACTAAGCCCATAATAGGCCCTTAGTAATTACGGGACAGGAGGGAGGTAAAGGAGGAAGGAGATGGGGAGGGAAGGGGATGGGATAGCAAGGAGGAAAGAAGAAAAGAGGAATGGGGAAGGGGGAGGAAAGGCAGGGAGAGAGGAGGCAGGGGGAGGGAGGGACGTCCTCACTGGGAAGAAGGTCCCTGCGTCCAAGA